CCAACTCATTGGGGTGGGGAGTGGGGGAGGGGGAAATGTACATGAAACAGTGTATCCCAAGTGGGGATTTTTAGGACCATAGGGGGGGGGCATGGCTCCCCTAAGAAAGTGCATTTCATACATTAATTGGGTGTGGTGGACTGGATACGGACCTACTCTGTAGCATATTTTTTGCACAAAATGGCCACTCTCAGACTTAAACCATGTTCTCGTGTTAATCAGTCTGAGATTTTACCATTACACCAAGCAAAATATAAACTGTTTTGAGGTACTATTTTACATCTAAGGCTTTTTAAAATTATTAAAGGGCTTGTAATAATGTGACGAGTTTCTCAAGATATTTTAATATTCTTATAGTGTCCTTGTTTACATTATCATTTTCCATTTATATACTCTTCCTATATGAAATATAGTCCTAGTGCATATTTATATGGTTTTCCTCATTTTGCTTTCGTGCTTTCATTTTCCCATTAAAGAAATAATAATTTGTGAGGATTAAAACTGCTCCCAAGGCTTATCATTCAAATTTCTAAAGCTCTTGGTGCCTTGCCTCATGTCCTCATATTTTAAACATTGCTTAGACTATGCCAATATCTTTTTGGCTACCAAAACAAGAACAAAGTATATGAAGAAAAAGCACGTCTTTCTTGACAGTTGACACAAACATCGAGTCAAAGGGAATATTCCTATAGTAGAAATAAAATAAGGTCCATGCAAAAGAGATTGGACATATAGAAGGCTTTATTTCTGGGCTTTAGCCAGAGAACTGAAAACAAATGCATTAATACTACTGATCAAGAGGTCATGAATGTGAAAGGAGTCAGTCTAAAAGCCTGTAATATGCACTTCTTGAAATGCAAAAGCACTTATGTCTTCAGCTATGATACCCAGATATCTGAACACAGCAGGTGTATATATACCTGATATTAGATTTCTGTTTTGGATTTTAAGCTAATATTTAAAGTAGTTCTGTTTCCAAGTTAGAGTCATTTTTTTTTCTTTTTTTGGATCAGCAAGTTAGAGTCAGTTTTTCACTTTTTTTTAAGTCAAGTTAAAATTTGAATTTAGCATGGAGCTAGATTCTTGTAAATCATAGTATTATCATAGGCATGAGTTACTAACACATTTAACTGAGCATATTTGCATTGTAACCATGCATCTTGTATTAAAGAAAAGAGGCTTCAGTTTTTTTCCTCTTCTTCTTTTTTTCCCTTTTAGATAGGTAATCTTCTTTTTTCAGGCAGTGATTTCTTAAAGATTGCATCTAATGTGCATGTATTGTATAGTGCTTTGTATTTTCTCTCCGTGCAAAATCATTGGTGGAACCAACCATATAGAAGGAATTCTGTCATTAAAGAACGCAATTTATTGCAGAAAAACAAGAATAATAAACTCAGGGTATTACCTTTCCAATGGTTCTGAGCTCCCGTTCAACAGGTTCCATGAATTTCATGTTGATATTAATAGGCCATACCTGTATAGAAAAAAATACATAATTTGAGATTCCACTTGGGGAAAGCTGAAAGCATCTTGCTTAAGAGCTATTCTAGAAATAACTACGACAAATATGATACACTCTAGAGCAGGAGGGCTGAATTAGACAAGGTCTACCCCACACAAGTGACATTCCAGTATTTTCTGAATTCTGATTCTAATGCAACATAACCTTAATCCGTAAAGTTTCAGGTTTATCTTTCTTGTCAAACAAAATATGCTATTCACCAACGACAGAACTGACACCAAACGGTGCAATACAAAAAAGGCAATGAACAACATCAAACCAGAGCATAGGATCCTTAATATCTCTATTGGCCTATCCACCCTTTCCTTGATAAAGTGTCCGCAAGGGAGTTCGTAGACTGTTGATCTACCTTAATGAGCTCTTAAGCCTAGTCAGGTGACGTCGAGCATAACCTCAACATAACCTAGTTTTAGACCTTGTACTAGGGCTATTAGTTTAGCCACTAGGTAAGACTCCCTCTCCTATTAGTCCTGAGTACACCAAAAACACCTTACTGGTAGGAACTTGGGTTTCCCATGGAATAGGCTCCAAACCCAGCTTTATTTTTCCTAATAGCATAAGCTCCTATTCCTGCTTCCATGAGAGGTAAAAGCAGCAATTGGTTGCTATCCTGTATCTGCTGTTTTCACCAAAAAACCTTTGAATCCTTCTCCAGTTAAGACACAATGTAACAACCTGATAGTAACTAGACCATGATAGTCTTGTCATCCTGTTACTTACTGTGGAAGATTCTTGGACTCCATTATAATCATCTATGTACAATGCCATCAAACAGGATTCAATATTGACAATGTGACAAGAAGTTGGCACTTGTGGGTATTACCACAGAATTCAATGCAATTCAGAAAATCAAAAACATGCCTGTAACTGAACAAAGATCTGACATGTTTAGGCTGTAAAGTTGGGTGGGGTGAGGCTAAGGGGCTCTTTAATAACAGCTTAAGTGGCTGAACTGTATGGTTTATTGCTTTGCCTTTTAGCGAATAAGTTATTAAGGAGTTTTTTTTTTTGGTGAAATAAGTTATTAAGGAGGTTATGAACTCCTTAACGACTGAATCTGGACTTGGGTTGATTACTATAATCTCAAACTTTTTATTATCTAAAATGTTTTATTTGCTAAAAGACAAAGAGATAAGTCATTTAGTTCTATGATACCTGGAAACTTGTAGAAGGGTGCTATATATTGTCAGAATTCAGATACTTAATTTTTTTTGTGCAAATTCCATATGTGATAATGTGCCCAGTCGTGTCTGGATAACATAAATTCAGTTAAATCACTTAAGCCCTTAACAAATGGCCTCTAAAGTCTCTTGGTGGACTATATTTAGGATAATGGGTCTGTAAAGATCTTGCTCTTTGGAAGGTGGTGCATGCTATATCGAAGGACAACCCCTATGGTTGGATGTCAAAGCCCATCAACAGTTATTAGGATGCAAGTTTTTGGGGAAGCATCACAAAAAATCTTGATGGTTTCCTGCCTTTTACAGATGGTGGCGGGGCAGCAGAATCTTCTTTTGAGAGGACAGTTGCAGTAGGCTTGGCTCTGTGTGTGTGCGTGTGTTATGCTCTGCTATACGAGGTCTCATTGTGAGTTGCTAAAGACCATTGATGAATTCTCAGTGCCAAGGTGATAGCAAAACTGCAACCCCTTTTATAGGTCCCCTCATGAATAAGATGGGAGGGTGAACAACTCTCTCCGAAAAATTTGGTGCATTTTCATCTCCCAAGACCAATGTGGCAACTGATAAGTTGATTTGGAAACTGGACCAATAAAAAAATTTCCAAGTTTTAAATGTTTCTGTTGCTATTGAATATATAGTGAATTTAATTTTTTTTATCAATAACTGAATGGACTTCATTAAAAAATAATTCAGCAAATACAAAGAGGAGAGGGGAGATAAACTCTCTTAGCTCCCCCCAAAAAGAGAAAAAATTACAACATAGCCCAGAACAAATAACTTCTTCCCACCCCTTGCTTAGCCAAAGCATTAGCCAAGCAATTAGCATCTCTCTTAATCCAATGAAACTGAATTTCCATTCCTTGTGCCATATCTCTGGACTTCCTTTTTTCATTTATATAATCCCACCAACCCATCTCCTCCTTTTGAAGCCATCCAATAGCAAGCTTAGAGTCTCCTTCAATTATCAGTTGGAAATATTTAATTCCTTGGCTTTCTGAGTTCCTTCCATCACAGCTAAGATTTCAGCTCTCGGAGAGTCACCCACACCAATAGGGCCAAAAATATATAGCCCTAATAGTGCCATCCTCATCTCTGAAAAAACTCCCTATGCCCGAAGGTCCAGGATTACCCCCTCACTACTACCATCAAAATTCAATTTGACAAATCCATTGGATGGAGGGGTCCAGGATGGTTTAATAATAGCTTTCAATGGAGCAAAGTCAGCCACTTCCCTCCACTTTTTCATCAGATCAGCAGTAGAAACTCCTTCAAATATTTTTTTTTTTAAGTCTTCACCCAATGGATCACCCTAGTTGTAATTGCTTCAATGAGGGCTTCCCAATCTCTTTCCTTAGGCTCAGTTTGGGAAGAGTGCAAATACAAATACGTAGAGTGCAAAACCTTGTATTTTATATTATTTTGTATGTATTTACACTGTACATATTTATTTGTATTTGTACTTCTTCCAAACTGAGCCTTATCTGCAAATAATCTTTGATTTCTTTCTTCCTAAACTGTCCAGCACACAGCAGCTCTCGTACAATATAGTGAATTTAAATTGAGTTCCACCTAAGTGGAAACCTTTTGTGGTTAATTTTATTGGATACAGAGACAATTGATCACATTAATCATAGAGGGCTGCAAACTCCTATAGATGCATGCTATGTGAAGAGTAAGAGGAGTTGATAGGTCACTAGTTTTTGTGCTATGTGCAGGGACATATAATCTGTGTTGTTTCTTTTGTACTTCTTTTCATGTGTCTTAGACTGAGCCCCTTGTCAATCATTGTTGTCCCAGCTTCAGATTTCCTTCAGCTGTAGGAGTTACACCTTTTGGGTGATGGTACCTTCGCTTATATGCCAATCTTGGTGTATTTGGAAGAAGGGAACAATGGGATGCTTGAAGGCCCCAAACATTTCTTTTGGTGTTGTTGAAGTTTGACCTGCCATAGAATTCTGTCTTGTTCGTTGACTGTAGAGTAAAGTAGACAGCAAGAAGTAGGAGAGGAAAGAAGAAAAGAGAGAAGAGAGAAAAGAGAGAAAGGCTGGTTCGAATT